CATTGCTTTTACGTTTAATGTTCTTGGTACTTATTACGAGTATGATAACAATTACTTAATACATTATTCTTTAAAGCCAATGATATTGCTATTATTGCTAATAGTAGAAAAATAATTATTGTGCAATCTGTATAAGTTTACTACACGTTACTCTTGTACGAAACTGCAGTGTCTCATTACCATTATTATAATCTATGACAATATGAAAAAACATGTAGAAACAACTATTAGATAATTATGGCATATAAAATGTTGTAAATAGCGACTAACGCTATCGACCAAATTAAATAATTATTTAATATTATTTCATGCTCGTTTGTATGGAAATGTTCGCTGTGGATAAAATCGCGTCAAGTCCGCTTAATAAATTGCACGATCGATGAGTTTTCAAATGAATTCTAAATTCGACATATAAAATGAAATGTATAATGTCTCGGAGTTGCGGTAAAATAAGATAGTGTCAGAGTGGCGTCTGTCGCATCGCAGCATCCACTTCCTCTCCGATTCCATAACGAGGTAATTTGAGTGTATTCCCAGGGTATAATTGTTTAGAGGATTAATTGTTTTTAATATTTTATGTTTTACGCGTGTGAATGGTCGTTTCGTAATAAAAGCAATAAAAGTTTTATATCGTTAACAATATTGGGATACCGAAGAAAGTAGGACAATAAATCATGAGATTAATTTTTATTTACTACACATAATCATTTGCGTGAATTTTAATTATCAATAATACTACGTTTCTCTTCATTTTGTAAAATACCCTCAGAATGTGTGTATTAGCTATATATATTAAGAAAATCTCTGAATCTATCTGGATAATTGAAAGAGAGAGAGAGAGAGAGAGAGAGAGAGAGAGAGAACGAGAGAGTACGCAAGAAGGGGTAGCAAGGATATTAAAAGTAAAAGAAAAGCATGAAATTGCAAGAGTAAGAAAATGTGAGGGAAAACTTAGTCAGCTTTAAACGTACAAAACTATGCAGCTTCCGAGACTTTTTTTTATAGAACCATGAGGATCTGCTAGGCTTGTGCAAACATCGATCGCCATGATAGCGAAAATTGTCGCACAAGGACGTTAAAATCTTCTCTTAAACAGCGACTGGAATTTTACGAAGCGGAGCCATTCCTCAGTCAAGAAAACCTTTAAAACTTCCAGAAGAGAATTCCACAATCATTAAAATTGCGAGGTTTCTAGACCACTAACCCGAAAAAAAAAACATAAATTATCGGTTCCCCATACTAATATCATTAACAAACATATTATTTTTTTGTCTTTATATTGTAATAAGAGTCCTAGTGCGAATAATTAGATGGTAACAACTGTTTATCTCCATTCGTTGCTTGGATCCTCGTAATAGAAATAATAATTTGGATGCACATTTAATTACTAGTCGCGGTTTCAAAAAAAAATTTTTCACTAAATGTTTTGTCTCCAAGTTTATGCTTAGTCTGGTTAATTTATCTTTAACATATTAATTTTATCTACATATTATATTAATATTTCGACTATAAGATAAATGGATTTATAAATGACAAATCATTGTTCGGTAAACTGTAATTTTCTTAATACTATACGAATAAATATTAATTTCGTCATATTAATTATATAGAAGAAATTGATAGTTGAAATTTCAATTCATATAACGACATTCCTTAAAATGTAAATAATATGTTATACGGAGTCCTTGCAGTTAATCATTCCTCCCTCTTATATTTCATTATGTTAATCTTTTCAAATGTAATGAAACTCAAATTCAATACTCATCTAAATCATTAAAAAATACTTAAAAATATTATCAAAAATATATTTTAATTATTTAAATATTAAAAATTCTACTGAATGATTTGTTTATAATTTTCATTAAGATAAATTAAGTACCAAGATAATGGATTTACTCTATTTTTAAAAAATTGTTCCACATCTTTTCTGTCAAAATCTTTAGAAGCTCTCGTTTTTATATTCACGAAAAGGATTCGAACGTAAGGAGACAGCTAATATGTAAATTTATCTACTGAATCTTATAATAAATCTTAAAATATTCACTTTAACCGATTTCTATACAATCGTGCATGACATTTTGCCATTATACAATTATTCAAAGATGCGTAAAATTAATTTTGCTACTTATTTGCTTTGTATAATACTTTGTAAGTATTCATAATTGAAGTATAAACTTTCGGATTATTATTGTAAAATTTATTCTCTTCAAACTAATTATATGTTAGGTACAATTTTACAATAAATCATAAAAATAAAAAAGGCCAGATAAATGTATCTGCATTTTATAAATTGTACTGTGAAATTCATACTAAAGAATTAAATTTGTAAAGTTACATTTTGTTGCTTTTGTTATAAATATTGATTTACAAAAGTCCAATGATTATTAAACTAATGATCAATTATTTTATTACATTGCAATTAGAAAAATTAATAAATGTTATGTACTTTGATACAGTAATTTTGAAATACAAGAAAAAAGCCACTTGAAAATTATTATTATTATTATTATTATTATTATTATTATTATTATTATTATTATTGGTGATATAATCAATTAATAATTATATCTATCTACGATTAAACGCTTATTAATTACAAATCAAATCAAAAATCAATCCTAAAAACTATCAATGATCAATTATGTAATTACATAAGAAAAAATTTTAATTAGGTCATATTTTATCTTTTACAAAGATTATTCATTGTAGGCATTGTATTATACAAAACAAAAAATTTGCTTATTAATAAATATTAATTAATTAAGTTTTTTTTTTTTTTTTTTTTTTTGTATATAAACATAAATTCCATGGATCGTATTTATCAAGAAATATAAATAGAATATTATCAATATAAAGAAGATTAAAAGCAATGTGACTTATCATTTGTATTTGTAATTACAAAAGTTTTTGCTCTTTTTTAATAAAATCATTAAAGCCGCTAATCATTTTTACATGAAATTGTAAAATACTCTTAAACACTAATTATTTCCAGAAGAAATTTATAATTTGTTTAAATAGATAAATATAATTGTCGAGCGGCACTATTGACCTCTTATATTGTGCTTCTCAGCTCGGATGTGTATTTTAATATCAATTTTCAACCTTAGTAAAACAAAGACGCCTATAGCCGTCCTTCAAAATAAGAATTTTAGTATAATCAATTGTCGTACTATTTAAACTGAGCATTATGTCGGAGCAATTTTTCCAAAATTCAATAAAATTAAAGATGTAAATACTTTTTATAACTTCTAAATGGAAAAATGTAATTTGCGCAAAACGAAATAAATAAAACTTATCTCGTTATAAAGTTTAATGGTCGATAGTCCATGTAGAGAAATTATGACCTCGTAAGCTTTGTGAAATCAAGTTGTCTAAACTAACAGCGAAGAAAGCATTGAAGCACGAAAGTACTATTTTAATATTAGTAATGAAAGTCGAGGAAACCTTACACAAACTGCAGCTATTAAAAGAAAGTGCGACTTAAATAAATTGTAGATTTTCGCTATATAAGGCGAAATAATATAAAAAAAATAATAATAATAATAAAAAAAAAAAAAAATAAATAAATAAATAAAAAAAATACTCGATATAAAATATAAGAAAATATATTTTTGCTAATAGAGAGAGGCAATAAATTTACTACAATTTTACTTGTTGGTTACTACAATTTTATTTTGTTCGCTCATCGGTGAAAGCGGAACCTCTTTGTACGCCATGAGCGTCGTTTATAAACGCAAAGAGCTTTTTCCTTAATTTTTAAGTCGCATGAGTTCTGCTATCGGACAATAATATTTTTGTCCTTTTCATCTAATTCACTTTCAAAATATTTATGAACTCACATAATTTCGCAATATAACATTAAAATACTTTATCGTAACAGCCATGTAATATGCCATATCATTAAAAATTTTTATGAAGAAAAAAATTGATAATAACCACCGTGTCTAATATATTTTGATGAGAGTGTAGATTAGAGATTTGGGACTATAGATTGCAAAATATGTTTTGCATGTCAAACAAATAATTTATCCAAGAGTGAAATGCGTATATTTAATGAATGATTGTTTATCAATTTTGTGAACATTTGCATCCCCAGCCTTTATACAAGTCCCTACACAACTAATTATCTTAATAACTTGACTAACGTGTACGCAAATTATGCAAGCATGTGTAAGCGCATTATATATATATATGTATGCGAGGGCAACCAATATACATAATTGTTTAATAGTAAAATAATAATATATTAGTAGTAAAACTACACGATAGTTTAAATTCTTGATTGCTCTAAAATTAATCAAATGTATGAAGCTCCGAAATGTCCTAATCGAACGGTTTATCACTCTCTAGATAAAAATAATGAAATTAATGAGAAAGAACCGAGTAATGAATCACGGTTATATTAAATGGAGGCGAGAAGTGTAAAATCGAGGCTTCTACAGTTCTTCGTGCCTTAGATAAAAGGAATATTGGCGATTCGCAAGCGTTCACTCATCTTCATGATTATCCTGGTCACGCAATCTTTGCTGAGCCTTATAATTGATGATAAATCCTTCTTGGCTTTGTCCAGGCTCCTACTGCATACACTCGCGGGCTTTTTCAACTTGCAAACACAAGTGCGCCATCTGGCGAACGTTATTTCGTCCAATAGTAATAGCGCATGCGAATTAACTGTCAACCGACGATTCTCCCTATAATTGTGTATGCATGGATATCATTGGGCATGTGTTGGTGTGTGGAGGGGCGTATAGATCAGCGATCGTTTACCAACTTTTGCTGGTCGAAACATGTTTCCGCGGGACAACACAGACAAATTTTATCGAACGAAATGGCAAATTTTAAATATTGCCTGTCAATTTTTCAATAGATCTTTTTATTGTATTCGTAGTCTGATTTTGGATTTTGAATAAATACCATCGTTTTATATTATTTATATATACATATATGTGCACAGTTATTTGGGGCCTTAATGCATTGTAAATGAAAATATTGTATTAAATTATTCTTACAAATTATTGATTATGAACGAGTAAGTTACCGCATATTATTTCTTTATCTTCGTAGCGTCAAATTAATTATTAAACTGCATGCGAGCTTACTTGGGACTATTCTACTTTTCACTTACTTGTTAATCCTGTAAATTCATATTACAATCGGCAAATTTGTTGTATTTTTTTATTTAGACAAGGGAATGTACCCATAGTATCTGGAAAATTTTATGGGACCTCCTTAAATGGCATATACGATGATCTTGAAAAGAGAATTGAACAAACAAAAAGGCAGCAACCAGCCAACATAGAATATAAACCAAAATCATTGCTGCAGCCAAGTCGATACAAAGAAGAATTTTGGAAACAGAATGAAGCCCTTGCTAATGCCATAGAGTTTGGCAATGACGATGTATTATGTTGTTTCGTTTTTCAAAATGAGCTTGGAAAAAGGCGTTTTATTGTAACTCATCCCGAAGACATGTGGGAAGATTTTGAGCACGTGCCAATGGAAAAAAGAGTTTTTTACGAGGTAAATCAATAACTATTTGCAGAATTAATTCATAATATAAAATTTCTATCAATAATTTTATGAGTAATTTTTAAAAACATAATAAGCGATAGGTAATGTAAATGCGATGATCGAGTACTTGGCTTGTATAAATTGATGACTTATTAGTAAATTTGACGTCTCATAAATGAATATTTGTAGGTAATTCCAGAAAATCTTCCTTGTTTTCTCTATTACGATATAGAATTTGAAACAGATATAAATAAGGATAAAGATGGTATTAAAATGACCAGTACGCTTATTGATATCACATGTGAATATATAGCTAAATATTGGAATTATCGTTGCGAGAAGAGTGTGGTTATTAATTTGGATTCTTCACGCGATGGCAAATTCAGTAAGCATTTAATCTTCAGTACCAAAGATGTTGCATTTAAAAATAATTTTGAAGTAGGTTGTCTGGTAAAAAAAATTTGTTTTGACATAATAAGTCTTGTGTCGAGTGAGAATTCAGAAAATGATATTTTAAGTAAATTTAATAAATCGGAGCTCGAGGAATTATTTGTGAAAACTACTAAAGGAAAAAAATTATTCGTCGATCTTAATGTTTATACTAAAAATAGGCATTTTAGAATCTACAAGGCCACAAAGTGGGGCAAAAATTCCCATTTAGTTCATGCTAAAGATTGTAAATGTCATTGGAATAAAAAATCAAGAAAAAGCAATGATTTTGATCTGTTCATAAATTCTCTTCTCTCATATTTACCAAATGCAAAAAAGTTGGGCATACTGAGTTTCAATGACCCCAAGTCATTGCAAATTCAGCATTATAGTCAAAGCATAAAAGCACAAACAAAACAGTGTTCGAATTCTAAATTATATTCAGAAGCTTCATATAATTCCTTAAATAATTTTATTTCTAATTTGATAAAGCCCGGAAGAATTAGAGATATGAAACATATTGCTAATAATCATGTAATTTTTGAAATTGTTGGCAATAGGTAAGTAAATACATAACGCATGTTTAAAAATTATAACACACAGTGCATTTATTTTAAATATGTTTTTTATGTATCAATTGTTAGATTTTGCCAGAATATTGGTAGATGGCACAAAAGTAACAATATTTATTTTGTTATCGATTTAAATAAAAAAGTTATGTATCAAAAATGTCATGATGAAGATTGTCAATATTTTACGTCTGTGCCCAAAAAATTACCCGTAGAAGTGGCGTTTTATTTCGAAGACGAAACAGACTGTTTATTTTCCACTATCGAAGATTAAATCAACAGAAATGTCGTTGGTAAAGATCGACTATAATAAATTGAATAAACAACATCCTTAAGAATTTAACTAAAGCTACGTGAACACTGAATTGTTCATAAAATCAATTTTAATTGCTTATTTTATTATAATTATATTCTTTTTTAAAATTATAATATATAATATAATTGATTATGTACGTGGATAAGCATATCAATATATATATATATATATATAGATAACTGTAATATATTTTGTTAGCAAATATTTTAATAAATGTATATAACATAAAAATATATTTATGATAGAAAAATATCTATTTGTTATGAGCCTATTATTTAATTTTCAATATTTTTAGTGGAATCTCTAATAGAGTAAATGCAATATCAGTCTCCATTAGATGCATTAATATATTTTAAAGTGATTTACAATATTTACATAAACTGCATTATTTTAGATAAAAAAAAATCTTTTTATACACAATTATTATCTTCAAGTTAAATTTGATAAAATTATTAATTTAAAAATTGCCACTTACACAATGCATTAGTTTCCTTATTTAAACAAAAATTGATATAAACTAAAACCTACATTAAACATGTTTTCACAAAATTTCTAAATTTATTACATTTTCATGTCTATGCTATGCAAATAACTTAGTTAAGAAGAAAAAGTTGAGTAGACTTCGATCTTCTTTTTCTTCTTCTGCTAAATCTGTTTCACTACTTTCATTGTTTTCATTTTCATTTTCATTTTCATTTTCGTTTTCGTTTTCATTTTCATTTTCATTTTCATTTTCATTTTCATTTTCATTTTCATTTTTATTTTCATTTTCATTTTCATTTTCATTTTCATTTTCATTTTCATTTTCATTTTCATTTTCATTTTTATTTTCATTTTCATTTTCATTTTCATTTTCATTTTCATTTTCATTTTCATTTTCATTTTCATTTCTGAACTTATCAACGGCCACAAATTCAGTTTGCCTATCTTTTATGTCAGTTGTCACTTTTTTAATATTATTACCACTATTTCCCTCATATTTTTCACAACCCTCTTGTTTATTATCTATACACGTTGTATCGGTCTTCTTATCTTGATCGACTGTTATATTATTATTTAATATTGTATCTTCAGATACATGTAATTTATTATATTTTCTATAATTTTGAATAGCTTGTCTCATCTGACATAAATAATTTGTCAGACCTTAAAGTAAAATTTGTACATGATTATAGTTTTAAATTACTTATAAATTTTAATTTGCAGTATTAAAACACAATTTACCCGACATGATTATCCAAGTGGTAAGAGTCGGTACATTTGTCCCCGGATCATCGAAATAGGTCAACCCAAATTCAACTCCTGGTTCATGAAAACTTTTCAATGGCTTTATAACCATAAATGACCAATACGTTGTTACTCTATAGAACATTTTTAATTAAATATTATAACAAAATTAATATATCATTGTAGTTAAAGTATATATAGTTCTTATACCTATATGTATCAGATCTGTTTGGGGCACTTGGATGTTTAGTTTCTTTATTAACAATAATAACAATATTCCTTTCTTTATTGTAAAGCCATTTTCTTTGATATACATAATCTCTATTTGCAAACATTCTCTATAATGAAAAATACAAAATGATACCTTTCTGTAATACTATCCATTTAACTATACATAATTCATTAAACTTACGGGCCAAATCATTTCCCAATATATTACATCGCTACGACTATTCATAGATTCATTCTGTAAAGGATCGGTATCTATTATTTTCAATTGTTTGACCGTGGTATCCCATTGTTTACGATAATTTAGATCTATTTGAACCTGTAAAAAGTCTTCGGCAGAAACATCATCGAAACAGCCATAAACTTTATAAGAATAAAGACCTCTAGAATCTTTATCTTGTTTTCTCCAAATTATCATATCTTTACCTTCTGTAAATGGCTCCCAATCTAATTGCAAATATATCAATTTTATTAGACATACGTTAGGTCGTTAATCTATTAAAGATTTACAAATTATTTAATTTGACAAACACACCCGTTGCTTTTGATACATTAGTTGTATTATTAACTTTATAACATTGACAATATTTAATTTTTGGTTGGCTAACATCTATAACTGTTCTCAAACCACATTCATGACAAATAATTGTCAAATCTTGTAATTTATAAATTTCTTCTATTTCATGAGCATAGCTTAAACAAAATTATTAAATTAATTTAATAAATATTTATTTATATAAAATTAATTTTATAAAATAGTATTACTTATTTATTTCTTCATCGGATACTCTCTCTTCATCCCAATTGTACATTTGCACACCGACCGCTCCCATAAGAAAGTTCCTTGTATTCTTTGTAATTCTAAACCTGTATAATTTTATAAATTCTTGTAAACCTACTTCATCCCAAATTCTTCTGTAATGATGAAAAATATGTAAACTTCTTCTTACTCTTTGCTCAGCTATAAACTCAAATTGTTTTGTACAAGCTTTCATTACTTGAATACTCTGCTCTTGTAGCCATATAGTCATTTTTCGCTTACACCATCTCAACTTATTATTTACCTTCCCATAATTTTGGGGAAAGAAATGAACGTTTCTAACTGTCTCTAAACGAAAGTTGGAATTAAAACGCCTAAAGATAACCCCTGATACAAATCGATAATACATTTTTACTTTTTTAGTAACTTAATTTTTTATCTGAAATACATTACTTAAGCAGAATGAATAAGGATTTGTATATACTTTGATGAATTTCTGGATAATAATGATATATTAGGTTACATTTATTTAAACGTTCGAGCCAAATCCAATTGCAATTGATAATTTAAGTCTAATTTTCTTATAATTATTGCCTTTTCAGGTTATGTTCACAATAATTTAGCATTTTATAGTATTCAAAAAATAAAATTTCATATGTTTTACAATAATGATTTGGAATAATTTTTAGAATTAATGGTCTTTTTATTTTCTTTAATTCAGAAACATAACAAGCATTAACTTATTAGAAATGAAAAATTATATAGGTATAAAAGTTTCATTTGCACATGTGATTATGAAACGTTATTTACGCTGCATATTACACAAAACTGACTTATAAGATCAAATAACAATGACAAATGTATGTTTTTAAAACTAATTTCTCAACAGATGCTGTATTTAAGGAATTGCACTTACAATATTAGATCATTTTTTTAACATTTCGACAAAAATTCTTAAGCCTCATTCCTTCGCACACTACACATATGCGAATATATATAATACGCGCATACGCATAAGCATGCATATGTGTATATGTAGTACGATATTTTTAATTGTTTATCAAATTAAATTTTAAAACAGCAATGTATATAAATAAAAGAAAAACTTGGTTTTAAATGAAAAATAATTTTAAGCATTATTTATTTGCAATGTTACGTTCAAGTTTGAGAAAGTGACATAGATATTATGGAAATAAGAAGGCAATTTTAGATCTTATGAAAAATGTAAAATTTAGATGAATTTGATCGCATTAATGAAATTTCATGAAATGCTATAAATTACAATTTCATGAAATGCTATAAATTACAATTTCATGAAATGCTAAATGCTATAAATTAAATTACAATTTCATCAAATGCTATAAATTACAATTTCATCAAATGCTATAAATTACAATTTCATCAAATGCTTTCAGTATGATTATTCAATTTCATTCAATTTTCTGTTTGATGATTATAAATAAATTTAATGAAAACAACTTGAAAAACAACGTTTCGCCGGAAAATTTATTTTAAAACGCTTATTACTTAATTTTGTAATATGTTAAATTAATTGACAATTATGATGTCAATGTCTTACCTAGTCGCATTGAGCAATAATAATAATAAAAGTAAATGGGTTTCAGGAAATCATTATCAATAATAACAAAATTTATAATTGTTGAAATAAGTTTCTTTAATGAAATAAACATTTACATAAATTAAATACTGCAACATTCATGTCATTAAAATAAATATATTGTATACGTATACTGGATATACAAATTATTAAAATTAATTTATTCATAAAATAAAAAACATATTCACTATACGTTTTTCCAGATCCATTTAAACATTTACTACATGTCGCTTGGGATCTATCTGAAAAATAAGAAAAAAATAATATTTGTATTTATATTGTATTTATATATTTAATGCTTAAAGTCGTATTCGGAAATTTTTTTTAACTATCGTTTTATAAGTATAGAAGCTACCCTGCAAATTCAAATTATTAAGCCTTCATAGCTCAGTATTAATTATAATTTACACCTATCGATCAATCACGAGAATTATTTATAATAATATTCAATTTTATTATTCATAGAGTTGAGTTGAAATTGCGGGCCAATATTGTCAACTGCATACCTTTGAGGTGCAGTGTTATGGAAAGTTTTATTATGAAAGATTAATTGTTATTATAATCATATTATTTTGATCAGACTTATGAAGAAATTAATTTAACATCTAACAACAACATAGAATTTAATAAGTTTAAGAGCATTATGTCCTTAAGCTAACAAACTTTCATTCTATAAAATTTTAATGTAGTATTCAATTACTCTTATTTACTTGTTTTTACACTTTGTCTATTAATAATTACATTTCAATGATCGCTATCGAGTTCAATTATCGGCTTACAAAGCTTTAAAATCACCAATCAACCGTTTACATGTCATTATTTACAATATGAACAATTTTTTCTCTCAATATATAATGTATACATACGAGTAAATAATTAAATGCTAAAATAAATCTTCTAGAATTTATAATTTAAAAAATTAATGTTCTAGTTCATAAACGTATAGTGGCATTAAATAATATACTGATTGTGTTTATTATTTCTTTACTTAGTTTTGTTACAATTGTTTTTATAATTTTAACATAATTCCATGGCATTGTTTTTAATAAAATATTTCTAACGACGATAATATTAATGTATATTCTAATAAAATTGTAATATTTTAAAATAATAAATATTTTGTAACAAGAATCATATTAAAAATTCGTGATTATAAAATTAATAATTCAGATTCGTGATTAATAATTCAAAAAAAAAAAAAAAAAAAAAAAAAAAATTAAAAAAAAAAAAAAAAAAAAAAAAAAAAATTCAAAAAAAATGAAAAAAAAAACAGAAATATTATCGCGCGCACAAATTAAGACAAATTAAGTGTTTGCTATTGCACATTTATTGTAAAGTTTTTTTTTTCAAACCGACAATTATTTCCAAATTGTGATAAAATCGTAGCATTATCACTATCGTAATATCTCTCTATCATTTTTTTTTTTATATATATATATATATATATATATATATATATATATATATATATATATATATATATATAACGCACACATATACATATAATAGAATTATAGAGAAGACGCAGCAGTTAATTAATGATGTGAAAGAAATTTTGCTTATAGAACTACGATTCAATTATTCGATTCAATGATTTTAAGCAGCTTCTCTCCTTTTCATAGGGGATCGAAGAACAACTTCTGAATGTACGTAAGTAGTATGATAGGTAAAGTAATTTAATCAAAATATAATATTCTAATGAACTAAGCTTATTTGTTACCTCCGCATACATTTCTATATTAAATATGAACAAGAAGGATGTATTTTAGAAGAGCACTCCTTTAATTAAATAGGATTTAATTGAAAAGCAAGATACATTTGAAGCCATCGATGCATGCGCGTGCAAACGTAATAGTTATTGGAGTAAATACAAGATTCTATAGAAAACTGTCTCGTACTACGGTAATACTTTTAGTATAATGAAGACCAATGGGAGTTTCGACGCTATGATCACGGAAGCCATAATTTTCCATCGTCCGTTATCGAAGAATATTTTCACGGCATTGATTAACAAAATAGATTATTAGATGGATAAGCTGCCAAAGGCAATGGAATAACAGATAGGGCGTGTGCGTAGCGTCGTTAATTGTTATTGACCGAGTTGATGTTGCAATCGCGTCTTTCGCGACTCACCACAGTCGGTTAGACTCGTTAAACGGACAGCTTACCTTCATGAAACGACGATAGTAGGTGGAGAATGTCCTTGGATTTGGCGTATCCTGCAGTCCCACTCGTCGATTAAAATCTGCCGAGGCCACGGAATTGCTCCTCTTGCCCCAGCCAGTCGAGAAGTTCAGCTGGGCATCGACACTGGCGATGAGGATGAGACAGAAACAGATTCCCACGGCCAGCAAACTCAGCCGTAGCTTTCCCCAGCTCCTACGAACATATCTCCGTTCAGTTGGGCATATTTCTTTTGCCACCGGGGCGAAACTTTAGGCACAACTTTAGACGCAACAACGCCATCGACCACCTCCTCTCGACTTTCAGAATTCGATTATTACGTTTAGCGTTTAGCGACTCGACTTCCCAATTTTATTGGACGGTCGATCGGCAATATTTGAAAAGTGGCAGGAACGATGCGGCGAACGTGGCCAAAATTCTTAAACTAAAAGCGAACTCGCGCTATAATTCGATTTTACGAGTCCGTCCGTTAGCTAAGTAAGCACTTGTCGCACATTTTGCCCAAGCAATGACTGAATACGCTGAAATACGAAATCATTGGATTGTCAATTGGATCCCAATCCAATTGTAATCGCATTATAATCGCTCCATCGTGACGGAATCAAAGTCCCCGGGAGGTGGAAAAATCGAGTGGATGTTCCTGATAGATAGACAATAGTCAAAATAGAAAGGACATTCGACTCACATGTTGCTTACGGCTTCGGATATTCAGCGCGATAATCGAGAAGCGATCGTGGAATCACCGACGCCGGGAGCTCTGATAAAGGAAAAATTGGACGAATTAGCGTGAAGTGGTTGGTACGGTGGTGGTGGTGCGACTCGGCGATGCGCTTATAATCGTCAAATCTACGATTCATCGCCGCGGCCGGGCGATCTTTTATATCCAAGATTCCCACCAGCGGCTCGTCTTCAACCCCCTGGACAATCGCCCCCGTCTCCTTATTTCGCATTACATGCGTGTGAATTGACGCAATTGTCAGCGCGCGCGCACACATTGGCCGCCGTTTTCAGCAAGTGACCGAACCAATCGGGTCTAATCACAAGAAGTGTTCGGCCGAGTGTGCGCGTGCGTGAGCGCGTGCATGTGCCAAGGCGTAAGACGCAATTTTCGTTCGTTCGACGTTCATGTAAGCGGTAAACGTCACTGCATGCGTTATTCAAGCGATAAGACAGACTTTTATAAAATTACGCATAATATTTATTCGACGCTTCGTTTCAAAATTTACGATACTCGCGCGATACTTGGCTCGGCGCGCCCTCCCCTCGGGCACTTCGTCATCAATCATTTTGGGAACGTTCATTGGTTTTGGGGGCACGTGTGCATAATCGCATAAAAAATCGTGCATTCTTGGCTCCTTGGTTATTAATAAGTTTATATGCTCTTGGGCGGTCTTTTAAACGATTGTTTAATGAAATTACTGAATAAATGGCATGTGGGAAGCGAAGGGTAGTCAACGTCTCGAGCTATGTGCGTTTTTCATTACAAGCTGTCTAAAGTTTCTCTATTAGCGCAAAAGTGAGAAAATTTTTTACAAATAACAATCTCCTTTTGTATTATTTATATGAACTATTTGCGAAAGAAGATTATCAGGGAAAATAGGAATTTTTCATTTTTCTAGATTGGAAGTGTGTTTATAATTTTAGAGATTGCGTAACTCCTGAGTAAAGTTGTTCGATTTCAAACTTTATCTTCGGTGTAGCAGATAAGAAATGTATACGAGTAATAATTAATAAAAAGAAAAAAAGAAAAAAAAATTATTAATTGTAATTAATTAGAGAGAGAGAGAGAGAGAGAGAGAGAGAGAGAGAGAGAGAGAATACTTTATCAATTTTTCGAAAAAGTACAAATTATTTTTAAATAACCTAATTGTTCGTTTAATTTGAAAAATGATAAACATGTATAAGAACGTATCTCCTCCATAATATTATTAACGACAACGGTATTATCAACAAAATGTAATATTGTTAAACAAACGCGACGCCCTCATTTTGTAATATATTAATGTTAGAATTTATCAACTATGACCTTTGGATTATTAACAAAAAAAAAAAAAAAAAAAAAAAAAAAAAAAAAAAAAACACATACCTTTGACGGATAAATTCACACGCGGATTAATATAATTAATATAATTATTTAAAGACTTGATTATTATATTGGTGTATTGAATTTTGTAAAGTGTATGGTCGAACCAGTAGGGGCAATAATAATGTAACCGAGATTATATTTTCTTTCGATTCGTCATTACAGATATATTAAATCTACACATTTAGATAATTTTTTTCAATACATTATGAAAAATACATAATTAATAATAAATCCATTAGAAAGTATGATTATCGTGCGTGCGACTCTCAAAATGAAAGTATCGTATGATGATAAACTTTTTTTAGAAATTAAATACAATACTGTTGGAATCGATAGTATGGCATACAAGCAGAAAAATGCATATAAAATTCAACTTATAATTATTAGACGTTAATTTTAATAAATTGTATCATATGAATAATAAGAGTAGAAAACTTGAAATCTACAGCATCTATTATTGTTCTTCTATTATTGTTCTTTAAAAAAAAAAAAAAAAAAAAAAAAAAAAAAAAAAAAATCATATTACAATGTCAATAAATACTCTTTATGATTAGTAAACATCTACAACAACCAAAGAACAATCTATAATTAATCACTTAGGTTCGTTAAAGCACATAAAAATTTTATCCAAAATCTTCAGCATTAAATGAATATCGTTGAAATATTTTATTTTTATTGTTTAAAGAGGACGTTTGATTTTCAGATTTTTTTTTTCTTTTTTTTTTTTCTTTTTTTTTTTTTTTTATCAATGAATCGATTATAATTTCATATGTTAAAGCATATAAATATTTCACTCGGCTAATTATTTGAAAATATTTTGTTTCGAAATTAATATCTACATTTATTTGATAATCATCCATCGTTATTTCTCTATGATTATCTCAAATTATCTTTTCGTTAATAAAGTAAAATATTGAAATCGTCGATGATGAGAATATAAGCTTTTACTAGTTAAAAACATCTTTATGATTATACAATAAACATTTCAAGCTCTTCAAATACCTTAAAAAACAATGATAAATATTTTATTCTCGAAGCGTCGAAATTAATAACAGATTTATAATAACTCAATGTAATTAATTACAACAATATATACAAATATAATCAGTACTGTTATCCAAGGCACTTTAAGCTCTCATTGTAAAAGAAAATGTCATTAAAAATTGATGTGAAAATATCATTATACTTTCTCAAAAGACAAGAAATACAAAATATATATTATTAAATAATACCCTTTCGACAATGAGAGCATATTTTACTTGAATCTGTTAATTACTAATGCGGTTGTAGGTTATAAATTTTTCTATAATTTGCATATTCGTTAAATAATAAATTTGAATAATTTCAATAAAGTAATATCGCGCTTTCATTACGGAAAATTAATGAAATACATTATAATCTTTCATTATATTCGTTAATTTAATTTAGAGACAATGAGCCAAAGTCCCAGATAATTATTACATAAAAGCATAAGGCATATTTTTTTCCAGCTAATTTTTCATAACGAAATAGCAACTCTTAGTCATTTAAAATTCAATCGATCATCAATGTATCTAATTAATGAAATTAAAAGAATATCATCGATTTTGCCATTCAGCGGACGATTGTTGATAAATAAATATTTTCAGTTGATGGACGCTATGATTATCCATTTATCTACTAAAATCCATTCGATTGTAATATTGTAGAAAGGATGATAATAATTAAGAAATTGAACATGTGCGTATAATATTAGTACATCAAATATTTGCAATCTCATAGGAATATTGAAAATTCATGGGAATTTGAAACAGTTGTGAGGCCGAGGAGAAACGTAGAAAAATGTAGGAAAGTAAACATACGTACGTAGGACGTATTCTAAAATTTCTCTCTCTCTCTCTCTCTCTCTCTCTCTCTCTCTCTCTCTCTCTTTCTCTCGCTTATTGTGCGTAAAAATCATTGCGCGTTGACGCGAACGGGCGTCGATTGTAACCATTACGTTTCACAACTTATTAACAAGAGACGTCGACAACGAGAGCTTCGCGTGGGCTTCTTCTTCATTTGCTTAAAGAAAAATAATAGATAAAGGGCTGCCGCCGGAACATACGCGAAAGAAGCCACAAAGGTACTAATCAAAGCTATAACCGTAATTTGCGCACGAGTTGTGCCGCGCACAATGGCGTCTTCTCAATGGTCGTATAATTTCTATATTGTCGACTCTGCGAATCCCCTTTGCTATTATTATCGAAGTGCCGTGCGAATCTTCAGTTAATGCTTAATTCAAGCATAACCACAAAGCCATTCCGTTTCTTAAGAATTTATAAACAATTAAGATTACGACATTGGCTTGCTTGTTGTATCGAGGAAACGTGTATGATTTTTTTTCTACGATAGATAAGAATCTTATTCTTAAGAAAGGTATTATAATTTGTAAATTTTCGAATTATAGAAGAATTTATAAAATTAATTATTCCTTATCTCGTTTAATATGACGTTACTCGAGATATCAAGATTTTTTTCTCTCCAAAAGCAGCAACATTAACTTTATTTATTCTAAATAATAAATATAGACCGTTATAATTTATAACCACATCTCTATGTAAATTATTGCATTAAATATACATGATAATGATACACATACAAATTATATGCAAATTATAACATTGACTGTAAATTATAATATAATTTATGTTGTATCTTCGTTTCGTTGCTAAAACTGTTCGAGATCTCTCATTTATATCCTAGAGAAAATTTAATTAGCTTAATCAAATTTGATAAACTTAGCGTTTCTATAACTGATAATAACGCAAATTTCGATTTCTGAAACTTCCTCTTCAATTACATACATTACTTTCAAAATACATTGCTTTATTAAATTATTTCTTTCAATCTCTATTCGTAATAAAACATTATGTCAAACTTCGACAGAACATCTAATTATATTATATTTTATGAATTATTTTCCGAATTCAAACCATCAATTATAAATCTTAATTGTACTAATTAAAATTTTAATAGCATCTTAATAAAACCAGGTTTATTTATTTATTAAATTTAATAATTTTAGATATTTATGAGAAATTAATAATATCAATAGTGGTGAATAATGACTATTCTTATTGGCATCTTTAAAATAATTTTCAATCAAGCTGAAATTTAAATTTATCCTCATTAATATATAAATGTTTCGTTGTATTCTTTTCTTATTGCACACATATTTGGTATCCCACATTCTGCAACTGTTCATTTAAAAATTTACATTCTAGTATTTTTATCATTTACTGTGATAAATAAAAAAAAAAAAAAAAAAATCTTAATTCTCTACTTCTTCTAGCGCTACTGTTTCCTAAAGCTCATTCATAATAAAGTACTAAAGAAAATAAAACGGTCATGATATTTTACATTATTTTCTTTTTCAATTCAATTTAAATAATTATAAGTTTTCTACTTCTCATACTTTGCTATTTCTAAAACAACAAACTGTATTTGTAATACTCAAGTATTTAGATTAGTTCATTGGATTAACGGTCTTATTAATTTCATAATCATATACATAGAAAAAATCTCACTAATTCGCACACTTTTCTAAAATTCATACGATTAACCATTGAAATAATATTCTGCTTAAACTGTACGTTTACACATTTAATAGAAAGCTTAGCAATTTTTCTATTACTACGATTAATCTATCAAATAATACACGATGTCTTAACAAAAATTATTGTAAAACCATAAGTTATGACC